GATTTCTTCGTTTCTCCTATTTTTGCAACAATCATTTCCTCAAAGTTATCGCTATGGATTCATCTTTCTTGTTGTAAATAAATCATGAAGATCTAAGATTCTTTGATTACGAATTTCTGCATAATTGAATTACATTATTGCTAACACTCAAAAGTTAATACTGTAACATTCCGAACTTCGACCCATTTTTGGGATTTATTAAACGTGTATTTCGTCAGTGCACTTATAGTTAAATCTCACCCAGAACTGATCACTCTCGGGTTATTTTTAAATTTGAGATTTCGCTAAAATCGCGTTCGATCGAATTTGGCCATTATTTAGAGCCCGAACTTTGGTGTCGAATTTCTCGGAGTTTCGTGACGAATTTAATTGGATAGTGTCGATATTATTGTGGCCAACGTCGATATTGCCCGGAATTGGTGAAAAGTGAAATTTGGACCCGATGCGGATTTTGACTAGTAGACCTCCCTCTTAGTGTATTTTAGTTAGTGTTTTTGGCTTTTTCCTAATTTATAATTAGGGTTTTTCGTGGACCGTCGGATCAACTTCGAGTTTGAACGTGGGCTGTTGGATCACACTTGATTAATTTGACTCTCTCTCTCTCTCTCTCTACCTGCGCGCCCCCTACGCGCATCCCCTCTCCCCTCAGCTACGCACGTCCCCTCCCCCATCTCTCCATGCAGACTCTCTCTCTCTCTCTTCCCTTCTTTCTCTTTTCCCTTCTTATTCTTCTTCTCTTCTTTTCTTTTCCTCTTGGCTGTTGCATTTGCTTCTTCTTCTTTTGCTCGCCGACCGCCACTCGCTCGACCAACCACCACCACCACCATCACTGCCGCCTAGCCACCGCACACCGTCACCGTCGCCAGCCAGCCCGGCCGCGTGCCTGCTCGTCCGTCGTCACCTCGCGACCGCCCATCACCGATCCACCCAAGCCACCCGCAAGTACTACCCTCCGCCCAGACCAGTCGCCACCGCCGTGCGCCAACGTCGCTGCGTGTCCAACCGCCGCACGTCGCTCGCAGGGCTGCCGTCCAACCGCCGCTCCTGCCCCCGGCCACTCGCCAGCTCGCCTAGCAACTCGCCGCCACGGGTCTCGCTCAGCAGCTCGCCGTCGCCCGTCGCCAGCTTGCCGTCGCCATCAGCCGATCGCCTAGCTCGCCGGCCGTGTCGCCTCGCTCGCTCAGGCCGTCGCCCGTATGCCTGGCCGTTGTCCCTGCCTTGGCCAGACTGTCCCAGCCGTGGCCGAGCCTGTCGCCGGCGCGCCTAGCCGCCGTCTCGGCCGTGACCGAGCTCGCCCAGCCGCTCGCCCATCGTGCCCAACCGCTCGCCCGCACGCCTGGCCACTCGCTCGGCCATGGCTGAGAGTCCCGGGTCGTGGTCGAGGGCTGTGCTGGCCGTGGCCGAGCCCCTCGCCCGCGCCGAGCCCGCCGCTGCCCCAACCGGCCATTTGGCCCCCTTGCCGATTTTTCCTTGGGCCAAAACCTAGGTAAGTGACTCCCTAAACCCTACTTAGTACTTTGGGTATTATTAGACTTGTTTAGGGGTTGATGAGTGTTGGTTTAGTGACTAAGTTAGATATGGATTAATTAATTGAATGTGATTGGTTTATGGATTATTGTGGTGGTGATTTTGTGGCTAAATTAGTGATCGATCGAGATGGGTTCAACGACTGAGTTGTCGTGACATTTGTGGGTGAAATCGATGTCTGAATGTGATCGACTTGAAGGTCGTATTGGTGGGCTAATGTGGTGAACATGACTTGAATTTGAATTGTATGATGTGTTATATTGGTATTGGCGAATTGTGTGTGGCGTATGTGCATGAGGAATGTCCTAAGGAGTGGTCATGCGGGACTAAGCTCGGATTGATCGGAGGGCTGCCAACCTGAGGCGTGGTTACGCGGGTGTGGCTAGAAAGGCAAGAAAAGACCTGAGGCGTGGTTACGCGGATCGAGAGAAATGTCTTGAGGCGTGGTTACGCGGGAATGAGCCCGGATTGATCGGAGGGTTGCCAACCTGAGGCGTGGTTACGCGGGTGTGGCTGGAAAGGCAAGAAATGACCTGAGGCGTGGTTATGCGGGTCGAGAGAAATGTCCTAAGGGGTGGTTACGCTGGACTAAGCCCGGATTGATCGGAGGGCTGCCAACCTAAGGCGTGGTTACGTGAGTGTGACTAGAAAGGCAAGAAATGACTTGAGGCATGGTTACGCGGGTCGAGACAAATGTCTTGAGGCGTGGTTACGCGGGACTGAGTCCGGATTGATCGAAGGGCCGCCAACCTGAGGAGTGGTTATGCGAATGTGGCTGGAAAGTCAAGAAATGACCTGAGGCGTGGTTACACGGGTCGAGAGAAATGTCCTGAGGCGTAGTTATGCGGGACTAAGCCCGGATTAATCGAAAGGCTGCCAACCTAAGGCGTGGTTACATGGGTGTGGCTAGAAAGGCAAGAAATGACCTGAGGCGTGGTTGCGCGGGTCGAAAGAAATGTCCTGAGTCGTGGTTATGCAGGATTGAGCCCGGATTGATCGGAGGGCTGGACCTGAGGCGTGTTGACGCGGGTCGTGGTTAGTTGGTTGGACACGCATGCGAAATGTGTTTGGTTGAATTGGGTGAATGTACGTGGTTATGGCGCTCGAGTGTTTATGTTATGTTCTTGAGCTATTATTGCATTATTGTGATTTGACTAATGCGCGGAGTTGGCATGTGATTTGAGGCGAAGTGTACATGAGAATTCTATTATGTCTATTGCTAGATTGCATGTTGGGACTCGTCTGGATACGCATTGGCCTAGGTGGGGTTTACGCTGTCTGCTTATTGTGATTTATTCTCATTGCTGTAGTGCAAACCATTTCAGATCCTCGACCCTGACCTTGATCATGCTGCCACCTCGGCGTTTTGGGGTCCCTATGCATACGGTGCATGAGGAGACCAAGTATCCAGTAGGTCCACATCAGACTTACATTAGGCACCTCACTACAGTCTTGGTAGATGTGGGCTTAGAGGACTTGCAGCGTCACACTTACTTGGCCTGATTTTATCGTGACAGATTGGAGTTAGTTGGCCCAATCCGGGGTTTTGAAGGACAGCAGCATGGCAATGAGGATGCCGTGGATTGGGAGCCCGGAGACGTGTATGCTCTTGATGGTGAGATTCTGGACTCCGAAGATCCCCCGGAGAACCCTGGTCCCAAACCCGAGCCTGTACCAGAACCTGTAGCGCCTGCGGATCTCGAGCTCGAAGAGGAATTTGAGGAGTCCAAACCTGAAGAAGAGCCCGAGCCTGTGCCAGAGCCCATGGAGTCCGAGCCCGAAGAGGAGCCGGGTAGCGAGGAAGAGCCGATCGAGATCAACTCTGACGCGTAGTCGGAGTATTCAGGGTCTGATTCAGATTGGGCACCGTAAGAGCGTTTGGGTGCTGGGCTTAGAAGCTTTTTGGTAAAGCCCTTTTTGTGCAGCTAACTAGCCTATCCTACCACCTGTCCCTTTTTGATGATAATGGTGGATGTTAACCCTAGGAACCTAATGTCTGATTGTCTGGCCGAATGTTGTGAGTGACTGTTTTCCATTGTTATGAAATTATTGTTTTGTGCTATTATGATCCCTTCATCATTATCTATTGTCTGGGTTGTTATATTTCGCTCCCGCTTGCGTATTCATGTGGGTATTTCGTTTGGGTCGGCGACGCGTACTGGGATGTCGCGTTCGATACGACCGTCGTAAGGGTGTCGCGAGCCCGTTAGGGTCCGGGGCGTGACAAATACGAAGGTCGCAGCTTCAGCCAAAACAGTCATCTTACTGATCCCGTATGTCTTAAGCCTTGCTAAAAAAAAGCACTAAAGTAAAGACACATGGTCCAGCTATACTACAATTAAAGAATCAAAAACTCACATGGTTGTTATCATAATTTAATCAGTGTGGTCGGTTACTGAAAAGCCATCCTGGTTCTTCAGTGAAATGTTCCAGTCTGGCCAAGGAAGAGAGCCTTGGTCATCCTATATGAAAAATATTATCGAGTCATTTAACATTTCTTGCTTCTGTACTCGTTCGGCCAAGTTTGGCTGGCTCAGTCACTGGTTGCTAATTAGACCAAGTGATCGTGTCAACAGGCAATCAACAATTGTCGTCAAATGGGTTGGCTCAGAAAATTTCTGAAAGGTTCTGCTTCCAACTCCAGGAAACAATCCAACAGCAACGAGGATGGCGACTGGGACGAGTCTCGTGATTTGTCGGTACTTACTGTTGCAATCTATTTGTCATTCATTTTAAGCAAGAAAGAACTAGCTGGTGTTTGGTTGTCATTATTTGCATGCGAAAGTTCATGTCGCGGTAGATTAATGCAGTGTAAACTTTAGATAGAGATTTAATTCGCCTTGAAAATTGCTCATATCATTTGGTGTAGGATGAAGCATTGGATAGTGAGAGAAACGAAACACATTATGCAACTACTCTTTCTTCAGCTGAAGAAAATGAAGCAGGTAAAGTGGTAAACTTGATACAGCAGTTACACTGCCAAGTGAATTGGACTGGCCTACACTGTTGAATGACAAAACATTCGATGGATAACGCTGGATTTCTTGCAACTTTCCCCGTCCCTTTCCTTATTTTCCGAGGCTTGATGTAGAAAATCGAATTTCAATTAACTCAGAAATTGTGATCCTGTAAAGGTTCTTTTAGAAGTATTACTAGGGAAAAGTAAAAGAAGTAATTAAAGGGATGCGCTTTCTGAGCCGTCATATTGCCATTTATGATCAGCCAGGTGAGCGGAAAAGCCTTTGTGCTCTTTGAACTCTACACAGACTGAGCATATCTCAGCAATTTGTCATTTCTTGAACATGGGTTGTATCGTATCTTGAACACGGGTTATACAGCAGAGAGTTCACTGAAATGGCATCTTTTATGAGAAGCAGTTTGTCTGACTCCAGACTACTAATGTTGTTCAGAGGGAGACCAACCATCCGATGATGGTCAGTTGGTGATGAACAATATTACAAAGCCAGCCACTTGGTGAATGAAGATGAGCGGCTCGCCGAGGCCCTCCCACAAAGTTTAGTTTTCAATTCAAATCCTCTGTGGGAAATCGAGAGCATATTTCCCCATTTTCCATTCTCGTTTTATTCTATGGACAGGTAATGGTGCTGTCTGATGAGACTTCGCATCCTTTTTCTGAATATACTGGCCACCAATTACATTGTCATTCTTACAACTACAGGAACATATCAAGGCCATGGTTCTTTGAATTAAACTCAATGCATGATTAATGGAGGGTAGGGTCACTCTGGATTTTTAAAGTTTATATCCTTATTCTAGTTTCACGGCCTTGTTGGAAACTTACCCTGAATAGTTTGAAGCAAAAAAGATCTATCATTGAATAGTTTTCCAACATAAACTTGCATGGTCTGTGGGGTTGTTGATATATAGGCCATTATTTGTTAGAAAACCTTTCTTGCAGAGTTGACCTGATGGAAGTTTTGGAATCAAAATCGACCAACCCATCGAGTTAATCATCTTTTGAAATATGATCTGCATCATTATGGTTAACCACCACATTATGGTGAAGGTCTTGCCATGTCGGTGCTTCCAATTGACATTGTTCTCATGAAGGGTCAATATACTCGAGTTGGTGGCTCAAAATTATGTATTCCGCCTTCTGCTAAGTCTGGAAAGAAATTTCATGGATGCTATGGAGCTAAGTACATTTGCAAATGTTTTTCCCAAGGTTGAAGTTGTTAAGAAAACTCTACACGTATACGTGCATCCTGGATGTCATACTTTCATGCCCCTAGTTGCTTCTTGTTTTCTAACTCAGATATACTAATATTCTGATATAGAAGACATGTTCGGTTTGCTTGTGAGTTGCTCCAGACAGAGATCTAATGGAAGCTGTGAGGATGATGAACATTGTTCTAGTTCCGATGAGCCCAACGATACGGAGGTAATACAAAAATTGTAAGTTGGGAGTATTTGTTTTTCTTGTATTCATTTGTGGTTAATTCATGGGTTGGTTACAATGCACAAGAGGTATAACTGCATAAGTTGGATGCTGGGAATTGATAGCTGCATAGATCAGTGTCAAACAGTTGTAGAACCTCAATGTGCAGGACAAATCAACAGAGAGCGAGGAAGAAGAAACGGACTACCAAATCGCCCTCATTCGTTCCTTCTCAGAAGATGGTCAAGGTAAATCGGACCTTGATTCATGAAACTTCTCCCCGACATAAACCACACTGGACCACGGTTTTAGATATTCCTAAGTGCATATTTCTTCTCGTTGCAGTCACATTGAAAACGTTTTTACTTAAGTATTTAGATTCCTCGACAATCTCTTTACCATGTATCTTTTAGTGATCCTGATTCAGATGAATGGTGAATGTCATTCAGCCGATGATCTCTATGGAGCGGCATCAACTGAGGACTGGGTACAATATGAAGAACTGAAATCGAAGCATGAAGATGATCGACCAGCCCATTTTTTCCAACAAAATTTGGCTTTCGAATCATCCTCACCTTTTGACATTGCAAAAATATTCCTACCTTTTCCGTTCTCATTTTATCCCGATAACGGGTGCCCCTCTATATACTCACTTCTATTTTTTTCAGTACTCTTTACCCAATTCAATATGAATGTTGTTTGTGGGAGAAAAGAAAAAAGAAGAAGGGAGTTTGTTCATAAAAGATTCATTGGCTTCCTTCTATGCTACAGGCAAGCCTTTCGGCATCCCGAATGCATCCATTCTTGTGCTTCCAATGGTCTGCTTACTGATCACGAGGTTCCGATGTAGCTTAGTTTCAATTGAATTACTGCGTAATACTCTAGTTTTATGCAGTTATTGCAAAATCTAGAAATATGTTGTGCTGATAGGTTTTTGACTCTGAGAATGACTACATTGATCAAAATATTGACAAAGACCACCACCTCAACCATCACCGCCACCATCATCCTCGTCCAATATGCTATGTTAGTGGGCAACCTGTAAGAGCTCTTTTTTTGGGATAACGGCATAAATGGTCATTGAATTATGGTTCAATATACAATGGCGTTTCTGAACTTTTAATTTGTCCAATGTAGTCTTTAAACTTTTTTCCAATATGCAATGTCATCCCTGAACTTTTAATTTATTCAATGTGATCCATGAACTATTGGTAAATATCTAATGTAGTCCATAACTATATGAAAATATTTAAAAGTTCAGATACTACATTAAACAAATTAAGTGTCATCAGATTATATTGCACATTGAACTAAATTTCATGGATCATTTGTGTTATTACCTCTTCTTTTGTTTTCCGGCAACTTTTTCTCAAGCCGAATCTGTAAACTGGGTACTTTTAGATATTTGATTTTTTCTGCGATCACCCAAAGTACAAATTCACTAAATCTTCTGTTTTTTTCCTTGCCTTTTCCTGTTTACAGATCCCAGTCGATGCAAATGGCCGTCTTGTGTTCCGTCGACATCCTTTTTGGCGACAAAAGTACTGTCGAGCGCATAAGAGAGATGGGACACCTTGTTGTGGTTGCAAAAGATTAAAGGTAGGTTCCCTTTCAATTAGATGCCCTCTTATTGGTTAGAAATCAATTTCAAACATTTAAGGACGGATCTAAAGCAGAACATGTTGGGCCAAAATGTCATCCCCTAATAAATAATTTGTTTAGCAATGTATAATAGAGAATCTTGTTCAGAAAATTGAAGTTCATTCTTTTCAATAATTAACCTGTATTTTGATTAGGGACGAGTGGTTTCAGGTTCCGTACAAGTTCCACTTGAAATCCGTGGAACCTGTGTGGAACCCATACAGGTTCCATACTTGGAACCTGGAACTTACCCTTGAAACAGATTTCTAAATTTTTGGAACCTGGAACTTACCCTATCACAGGTTCCAAGTTCGGTTCTAGAATCTAACCAAGTTCCATTTGAATTATTAATTGAACGATTGCAGTGAATCATCACCTTTAATGACCATCACTTGTTTATACAATTCACTGACCACAACTTATATTTAGACACACGAAGAAGTAAAAGTCTCAATCATAAAATGGAAGGTCAGACTAATAGTTCCAGAATGTACACTCGTCATCGAACGCCATGGAATACCGCAGGATCGCGCGAAGACATAGACCAAAAAATATACAAAAACTTGTTCCGATTTCCACCTACCTAGAACCTTCCCGTCAAAACAGGTTTATTAATTTTTGGAACCTAAAATTTACCTGCATACCTTGGAACCTGACAGGTTCCCACCAATCCGATTCTCTGTTTCTAGGTTCTACTCTGGAACCATGCTCACCCCTAATCGTGATCAAAAAATTTTCTTTTTCTCCTTTTAGAAAGATAATGTATTTCACAAAATGCGTAGCCAAGGATATATAATTGTTTCAATAAATTTGTAACTAAGACTCCGTTTGTTTAGCCAAAAATGAGTGATTTGGAAAATCATTTTCAAAAAATGATCGCTTATATCGCTTACAAAAATGAATGAACGAAAAATATTTTCATCGTCTACGTAAAAGTGTAGACACAAATTGTTGTCGGTAAAGAAAGTAGTTTTTATTGACTAATTATTTCAAGCGATACACGCGATCATTTTTTAGGAAAATATTTTTCAATTCACTCATTTTCTATGAAACAAACGGAACCTAACTTAATCTTAGCACAATAGCTCTTAACAATTTTCCCTAATTAGGATTATTGACGTATTAAAATTATTTCTAACTTCTCAATAGATAGTTGTTGATTCCTGAATAGAGACAGGCCTAATAGTAAAGTTCAATCATTCCATATATGCCAAAGCATTAATTCTCATGTTTGGAAATAATTACTCATCATTCTTCGTATTTCACAGTTAGAAGCATGATTGTTGTAAATAAAATAGCTCCTAAAGTTGGATGGTTTTTTGTTAAAAATTCCTAATAATACTTCATTACACTTTGGAATGTAAAGAAATTGGATGACTATGTAAATGTTTTTGAAGAACTGTGGTCTAAACCATAATTTCATCTAAATCCGCCCATCCAAACATCACATACGTGTGAATCTTTACAAATTTGGGACCTAAAAGACAAATCAAATCAACAAAGGAAGCCTCTAAAAGCAACCAGATGTTTAAACTGCTGAATTTTATGGTTTTTTACCAGAAAGTACAGATTTTTTTCATGATAATTTCAATTGGTGTTGGTGAATGTCAAAAATTATTGGAAAAAAAACAACCAATATTATCTAACATTTATGTAAAATTACTAATTTGTTTATAGTTTGCAAAGCTAATCATTGTACTAACTTACTTTCATTTGCATAAGTTACTAACTTATATATATTAACTCTTTTTAAATATTACCAACCTAAATTAGCGTCACTTACCAATTTTTATCTCATTTAGTTACCACATAATGTGGGTTACCAACTCTTATATGAGCGACTTACCGATGTTCATTTGGTTTTTTTTTTTTCATTTGTCAACTTTTTATTGTCATTTTCAAACTTTTAGTTGTATTTCTTCACAGTACCATAAACTTACCAACTCTTTCTAGAAAGTAGTTACCTTAATTAGACCAATTTACCAACTTTTCTATAATTAAGTCATCAACTAGTTTTGTGTTATCAACTCGCATTGGACTTTTTTTTTTGGTCAAAAACTCGCATTGGACTTATTTACCAAGTTTGCTTTTCTTTTAATATATCCTATTTTTTACCGATTTGTTTTTATCTTTCTAAGCTACATCTAACTATAATTTAAGTGATTTATCTACTTATCTACAATTGAGGGACTAATTATGTGTTACCAACTCTCTTTTATTAGTTATTAATGTGCATTTGTTATCTCTATTTCACCAACTATTCTATAGGGTAATTTAATCAAGAAAAAAGTTGGCTTGTCACCGTGATAAGGGTTGGTAATTTCATATAATAATTGTTACTATAAAACATTATTAAGAAAGGTAAATATAGTTGGTGTAATAAAAGATAATTTTTTTGTCAAATATAGGCTTTACACCCTAGAAAAACCCTCAACTTTAGATTTACACTACAAAAAAACTGGATTTTTGCCACGAAAATTTGCGACGAAAAAATTTTCGTTGCAAATTTGCGACAAATTTTCCAACGAAAAGTAAAATTCGTTGGAAATTTCCAACGAAAAATTTTTCGTCGCAAAATTCGTTGGAAATTTCCAACGAAACAATTTTCGTCGCAAAGTTCGTTGGAAATTTCCAACGAAAAAATTTTCGTCGCAAAGTTTGTTGGAAATTTCCAACGAAAAAAAATTCGTTGGAAATTTTCAACAAATTTTGCGACGAATTCAAAAAAACCCGGTATTGTTCGGCATTTTTTATATTCGTTGGAAATTTCCAACGAATTTTCCAACGAATTTCCATTTTCCGGGCCATTATTTCAGTGTTTACAATTTTCGTTGGAAAATTCGTTGGAAATTTCCAACGAATTACAAAAAAACCGGTTACTGTTCGGCATTTTTGATATTCGTTGGAAAATTCGTTGGAAATTTCCAACGAATTTTCCAACGAATTCCAAAAAAAACCCGGTACTGTTCGGTATTTTTTATATTCGTTGGAAAATTCGTTGAAAATTTCCAACGAATTTTCCAACGAATTTCAATTTTCCGGGCAATTACTTCAGTGTGTATAATTTTCGTTGGAAAATTCGTTGGAAATTTCCAACGAACTTTCCAACGAATTTCAATTTTCCGGACAATTATTTTAGTGTGTACAATTTTCGTTGCAAAATTCGTGGGAAATTTCCCACGAATTTTGCAACGAAAACCCGACTTGTTCCTTATTTTCGCGCTCGTTATTCCCACAACTTTCAATTTCCACATTCACTCTCTCTCTCTCTCTCTCTCTCTCTCTCCTTCGCCTTCACCTTCTCCCTCCGTCTCCCCCTCTGCCTCCCCCGCCGCCCCCCCTCCTCCTCCGGCTCCGGCGCCATGGACACCAAGCCTCCGACGCCCCCGACGCCCCTGACGCCACCAAGCCACGTCGCCGGCGAGGGCCGAGCTCGCCGGCCATGGCGAGCTCGGCCCTCGCCATGGCCGGCGAGGCTAGGAGACGACGACGGACTTGACGGGCGGCGGCCCCGAAGCCTGCTCCCGCCCCTGCTGCTGCTGCTGCTTCTTCTTCATCTTCGGCCATGGCGAGGGCAGAGCTCGCCATGGCCGGCGAGCTCGAGCTCGCCCAGATCTGGGCGAGCTTGGCCCTCGCCGACGACGAGGCTTGCCTTCGCCGGCCATGGCGAGGGCCGAGCTCGCCATGGCCGGCGAGCTCGGCCCTCGCCGGTGACGAGGCTAGCCCTTGCCGGCGACGAGGCTAGCCCTCGCCGACGACGAGGCTGGCCCTCGCCGGCGGCGAGGGCTATTTTTCGATCAAAAAAAAAACCAAAAAAAAATTTCCACGATTTTTAACTCGACCAAAAAAAAATTTGTAATTTCCAACGAAAAAAATTCGTCGGAAAAAAAAATTCGTTTCCAACGAATTTAGCCACGAGTTTTCCAACGAATTTTCCAACGAAAAAAAATTTATCGCAAATTTCCAACGAAAATTGAAATTTTTCGTTGGAAAAATTTCCGACGACTTATTACCAACGAATTTTTTTTCGTTGGAAAATTCGTTGGAAATTCGTTTTCCAACGAATTTTTCCAAATTTTTCGTTGGAAATTTCGTCGGAAAAAACAAGTTTTTTTGTAGTGTTAGTCCAAATTTTGCTCGAATTTATTTTATCTTAAAAAAAATCCAAACTTTAGGTCCAATTCAAATTTGACCCAAACTTTTCTTTGTCTAAAACAACCCCAGCTTTAGGCCCGTTCTCAAAGCTACCCCAAACTTTTTTTTGTCTAAGAGAAATCACCAACTTTTACTCTAGTCTCAATTCTGCCCGCATTAGCCCTCCGTCCAAAAATTGTCGTTTGTTGTCCCTAATTTTCATATCCTAGAATGATTTCATTTTGGAGATAATTTTCCATGTCACCTTACTGATGTGAATTCGTTATCAACGTGGAAATGCCACGTCAAGTTGGGAGTAGATCACGGGGGTAGATTTGAGAATAGATTAAAAGTTTGTGATGTTTTTAGGAAAAATAAAATAAAATTCGAGGCAGATTTGAGATTGGACCTAAAGTTTTTGGGTTTCCTCTGAGACAGAAAAAAGTTCGGGGCAGATTTGAGGCAAAACCTAAAGTTTAGAATCTTTTCTGAGACAAAAAAGAGTTTGGGGAAGAATTCGGACCGGACCCAATTTGGGGGTCTTTTAGGGATTAGGCCAGTGATATAAGAGAAATTGGTAAATTAACTCAAATAAGAATTAGTAATGCAAAATTAGTTGGTAATTAAAATGCAAAATTAGTTGGTAACTTAATCGTAGAAAATGATTGTTAAGTAAGGAAAATAAGAGTGCTAACTTAATAGTAAGTTGGCAAGTTTTAAAAAAAATCTAAATTATCGTTCGTAAGCGATGCAAATGAGAGTTGATAACCCAAAATTAGTTAGTAACTTAACCAAATAAAAGTTGGCTAGTCACACAAAAACGTTTGGTAATTTATATTAGTAGTTGGCAAGTCTAAGGTGTTGTTATAAAAGGTAAACAAAAATTGGTGAAGGATAGAAATATTTGGTCATAGATAAGAGAAAATACTCTCTCTCTCTCTCTCTCTCTCTCTCTCTCTCTCTCTCTCTCTCTCTCTCTCTCTCTCTCTCTCAAGCTGATAGATACAAAATACTTTCGTTTATTTCATACAAAAATCGCAATTCATTTGTTTGTGCAATTAAATTTTGTATAAACATACATTTCCAGTGAGTACATTTTTTTATTTTCTCATAATGCATAACAAAAAAAATTTATTTCACCTCATAAATTTCCATAAGTTTATAAGAATGAGCATGAGGCGATGGTGGGGCAAATTTTTAGCCCGTGGGAAGAGGACAGGGAACGTGATCTCCCGCCCCACCCCGCCATCCCATCCCATCCCTAACATTGTCTTACGGCATCTATGTTATGAAACTTGTTTGACTTTATAACACCAACCAATGAGTTCACTTTTCGAAACCCATCCATGCTGCAATTTCTAATTATTAGAGTTAGTGATGATACTATAAATGTTATAAATAAAAATAATAAAAGATGGTTTATATTTTTCGTAATGTAATGTGGTGCCCCCGTAGGTCTTGTCGCCCCATGAAAGAGGAACTGCCTCGCCTGTACAGGGCACGGGGCGGTGGCAGGGCAAATTTTCAGCTCGCGGGGTAGGGACAGGGGACGTGATCCCTATCCCAGTCTTGCCCCAAGTCCATCCATATGGCTATATTTGGTAGACAGGATAAAAGTCAGAATAGAAAAACATATATAATATCTTGTATTTGGTTCTTGCTCAAGAAAGGATAAAGTCGAATATAAGGATGATATAACCCGTCAAAAATATCCCATGGGAAACGTGGAATAAATGTGGATATGATTTCTTGTATTTATGATATAAAAGCTATTTGTATTTAATAACAAACTTCTTAAATTAATTAAATTAAATATAAAATAATATTTTGATTCAAATATAAAGAAAGCAAATTCAAATTAACAAAAGAATGGACAATTTTCGTTTTATATATTCCTATTAATATTTATATATTTTAATTTCTTTCAATTCTATAATATATAGTCTATATATTTACATATTTATTATCTATACTTATTATATAGTTTATTATTTAATAATTTTTTTATTAAGGAATGATGGAAGGGAATAAAAATGAAATAAAAAAAGAGGAAAAATAAGTTAATAAAAATGAGGTAGAAGAACCCTGATTTTAAATGAACAAATTCAAACTTGAAACGGATCTTCCTAATTCTCTTTGTCTCCTTCTCTTCTATATCTCTTATTCATGTTAAAGCTTCACAACTCCTCCATAGCTCTCTAGTTTACGTCAAAAGTCCACAAAAGCAGCAAAAGAGTTGAAACTCCTTATTTTTCGTAACTGTGTAGTTCGTATTGAACTTTCCCGAAAATGGCAAAAGAGTCAAAGCCCTATACTTTTTGGAATTGCAAAAGTAACTAATCATGTTTTCTCTCTTTTACTAGATTTGGCATTTTCACTAATATACCTCATCAATGTTGTTGTAGCCTGTTTACAATTTCTTGTCATAATCGAATCTATCACTCTAGAATGATGCAATGATCCCCTTTTCTATTTAAGATGTAGATCATGCAATAATTATGAATCAATTGATGGAGGTTACCTTCATTTGTGCATTTGTGATTTCTTTACCAATAAATATGTGAAATCATTACTATCTCTATTTGTGCATTTTTAGGTTCATTTACCTCAATATGCCATTCATACCAAACCATGGTTACGATAGGATATGAAAATATCCGATTTTATTACCACGATTCACCAAATATTAGATATGATATAGCAAATCATTTTATTTTATATCATATTCTATCCAGTTCTATTTGGCTAGAAATCCAAGCGACCAAACGCAGTCTATGTGACTCCGTTCCCTATTCTCCATGTCTTATCATTTCTTTGTTTTGTCCATTGACCAGCTATACATCATTTAGAATTATTTGAGATCACAGGTCCTCATGTGAGTAGCCTACTTCTATGCATGTCTTACAAAAAAAAAATGATTAGATTATTTCGTTCATGTTTACCAACTCTCTTTTAGCTTGCCCAAACTCCCCAACATTTGAGAGAGGTCGCTAATGATTGTGAAACATTGTGCAGCCTAGAGGATCGACGTACTCAATCCTGAGCGACGATCGGTGGTTATGCCCAGAATGTCATGACTCTGCAGTAATGGACGATCATGCATTAAAACCTCTCGAACGTGAAATACGAGAATTTTATGAACGCCTAGGAATGAAAATCCACCAGAGAAACATTCCATTATTATTGGTGAACCAGCAAGAGATGAAGAAAGACAAAGCCCGATGCCAAAAGAACGTAAGATGAAGTTCCACTTATAACTATAACCATACTTCTTAATCTGGCTGGTTCATTTATATGATTCGCTTGCTTAAAGACTTGTTTACCCGATCGCTTGGTAAATTAATATAATTGCCCGCACTGTCTAGCGTTATTCTAAGGCATCATCAATGAAATTCCGCTAACTTTATAATGTCTCGGATTCCTAAGCTAAGGAATTGCTAAATTTCTCATCCCACGCTCCTAACCAAAGTTTCTGCTTCACACTGGATAGGATCATCATCGACCGAATCAGACATTTGGCCGTACGTTGTGGAAACCCCTTCATATTTGTACCGTATGTGCTTCTTTGCACTTGAGATTTTCTCATTTTTCACATTGTTTACTTGTGTCAATTTAGCAACAGAGTGATAACCTTTTTTTTTTTTGGTCGACTCCCATTTCATTTCAGACTGTGGAAGGAGAGGATCATATTCTAGTCGCCCACTCAAGAGATCTAACCATAAGAGTTTGGAAAGGTTTCCCGAGGTACCTTCCTATAATTATAATTTCAAATTAAGGTCACATCAAAAAGTTCAAATTAAGACTTGCTATCTTTGATAAGAGACTTGAAGAGAAAATTTGATCTTTTCTACAGATTGTTCACAGGGCAAACCCTCGCTCATGAGATGATGCATGCCTGGCTCACACTTGAAGGTTCTTCTTTTGATTGCGATGTAGTTTTTTACTCTAATCTTAACCATAATATGTTCGAAAATATCCACTAGTCTTTTAAAGTTAGCTTGCTAGGCTGTGTCTTTGATTTAATTCTCGACACCACACTTCTAAAACCCTAGCTATATTTTCTAGCAAAATAAAACAAAGACAAAGACAAAGAACCCTAGCCTAGTGATCTATTTGTTGAGATGCACGTGTGAGACGTGTTAGAAAATTCTCATTTTGGAAAATTTGTATGGTTAGTGTGGAGCAGTTAATATATTTTAATTGGTCCATCACTCATTAGCTTAACCTTTTGAGCGAGGGTAAGTTTAACTAAACATGTTGATAGGCTCAAACTTAGGAGCTCTCTTGGCAATCTCCTTGGTGAAGGTATTGGATACTGCTGCGCACTTCCAATAAATAGTATAAGAGACAATAGTTGATTGGTGACCCGTTTCTAATATGTATCGGTATAGATAAAGAGACTAGAGATGAATGTGGGAGATTGTTGAGATACGGAGAATTTGTATAGTGTGGAGTAGTTAATATATATCCTAATTGGTTAATAACACATTAACTTAAGTTTGAGTGAAGGTAGATACAACTGGATTTGTTGACATGCTCGGACTGATGCTCCTTCCTAACAATCTCCTAGACGACGAAGGTATCCGATTTTGCCGCGCTCTCCCAACACTATTACACTGTCTATACCACACATTATCGTGCTTTAACATCCCTATGCGACAAACAATAATAAGAGATTTTTCGTAAAAAAGAAAGAAATCTAATTAGTTAGATTAGTAAATTGCCCCTTGTTTTTTTGGGGGACAGAATCTGACAAAAAAGTGTGATGGTGCAACTGACTACATGAAAAGATATTCTGGTCTTTCCTTGGGGACATTTGGGTTTTGAACTAGAGAATTGGTATGTTTGGCAGGTTATCACGATTTAGATCTCGTGGTCGAAGAAGGCCTTTGTGAAATTTTGGCTCACATGTGGTTGGATTCTCACATACGGTCCATGTCCAAGAGTAAAATGGCACTATCTCCAGGGTTTGACTTCCAAAAACGGCTTGCCAAGTTTCTTCAGCATGACATCGAATCGAATCCTGATACTGTTTATGGCGATGGGTTTCGAAAGATGAAAAGGGCGACGGACATGTATGGCCTTAAAGGCACACTCGACTACATACGTATGACAGGAAGCTATCCTTGATGATCTATATGCTCTTATAAAGAAATTTTTCTTGTTTATACATGGTCTGTCTAATGACTGATTATGAGTTTGGCTCAGTAATAAGATGAAACATTGGCCAGCTTCCTTTTGTGATTCAATTTTCTTTTGTATTCTTTTGAATTGTATTCGGTTCGACTAAGAGTTCCTTGAGTCATCTTCTCCACATGCTATCCTAAGAAAGGGAGATGCATGTGTGGATCCGGAGAACAACAGAGATTCGGTATATGTAGGCATGTTTCAGGACACCTATCTATTTTAAGCATTCTTTTAGCCCTTTGTTTATTTTTCCAAACTTCTTTACTGCTTATTGTTATTTTTTGGGTTTTCTTAAGTCATCTACGGTTTCCAGAGTACTTAATTATTCTTTTTAGAGTATCGGACCGCTTTTGACATAATTATATTGGATAGAGTTCTGAATTCCGCCTTTGAATGTTATTGCGCCTTTGTGCGAGTTCCGGATTGATTTGTTTGTATTTTTCAATCATTTTTTGCTGCGTCAGCTGCTATTAGAGCCGGCAAAATCGCTAGAGAGTGAAGCCAAGTCTGGTGTCGACCCAATGGGAGAAACTCTCAAGCTGACAAAGATCAGGCGATACAGACCTTATGGACATCTATTATTCGTCTCCAGGCATCCCAACGAACCATGAAGTAAAATCTGCAGGGAACTCAAAATACGCTTATGGAGCAGCTCGCTCTGGTGAAAACCTGAATAGGGCCAATGAAGTGGTGCCGTGACTGAATAATTCCCGCAGCCAACCGCTCAAAGAACTCCTTCCGGTGGCTTGAAACAATCGGTCAACCGGACTACCAAGAGGAATCTAATTTGGATGGGGATAGGCGAGGAGATTATCTCAGAAGTTAATACGGCGGCTTCAGCCAAAACAATCTTGTTACTGATCTCGTATGTCTTAAGCCTTGGTAATAAAGAAATAAAGGCACTAAAGACATAAGGTCCAGCTATGCTACAATTAAAGAATCAAAAACTCACACATACATAAAGTTCACGAATCAAAGCCCACAGGTACAGGTAAGATAATATTGTCTTTGGTGGTAATAAACAGCCATGGTTGTTATTGTAACTTAATCAGCGTGGTTCGGTTGGTGAACAGCCATCCTGGTTCTTCGATGAATTAAGTTCTATTTGATTAAATATAATCAGGCCAGTCTGGCCAAAGAAGAGAGCCATGGTTGTCCTATATGAAAAATATTATCGAGTCATTGAACATTTCTTGCTTCTGTACTTGTTCGGCCACATCTGGCTTGCACAGTCACCGGTTGCCCGTTAGAACAAGTCATTGTGTCAATAGACAATCAACAATTGTCTGTCAAATGGGTTGGCTCAGAAAAATTCTGAAAGGTTCTGCTTCCAACTCCAGGATACAATCGAACAACAACGAGGATGGCGACTGGGACAAGCCTTGTGATTTGTCGGTACTTACTGTTGCAAATCTATTTGTCTTTTCTTTTAAGCAAGAAAGAACTAGCTGGTGTTTGGTTGTCATTATTTGCGCCTGAAAGTTCATGTCATGGTAGATTGATGCAGTGTACACTTTAGATAGAGATTTAATTCAGCCTTGAAAATTGCTCATATCATTTGGTGTAGGATGAAGCATTGGATAGTGAGAGAGAAGAAACACATTATACAACTACTCTTTCTTCAGCTGAAGAAAACGAAGCAGGTAAAGTGTTAAACTTGATACAGCAGTGACACTGCCAAGTGAATTGAACTTGCCTACTCTGTTGAATGACAAAACATTCGATGGTTAATGCTGGATTTCTTGCAACTTTCCCGGTCCCTTTCCTTATTTTCCCGGGATTTGATGTAGAAAATCGAATTTCAATTTACTAGGAAATTTTGATCCTGTAAAGGTTCTTTTAGAAGTATTACTGGGGAAAAGTAAAAGAACTAATTAAAAGGATGCGCTTTGTGAGCCATCATATTACCATTTGTGATCGGCCAGGGGAGCGGAAAAGCCTTCGTGTTCTTTGAACTCTCCACAGATTGGGCATATCTTAGCAATATATCATTTCTTGAACATGGGTTATACAGCGGAGACCTCACTGAAATGGCATCTTTTATAAGAAACAGTTTGTCTGACTCCAGACTACTAATGTTGTTCAGAGGAAGACCAAGAATCCGATGATGGTCAGTCAGAGACTGGTGATGAACAATATTACAAAGCCAGCCACTTGGTGAATGAAGATGAGCGAATCGCCGAGGCTCTCCCACAAAGTTTAGTCTTCAATTCAAATCCTCTGTGGGAAATCGAGAACATATTTCCCCATTTTCCATTCTCGTTTTATTCTGAGGACAGGTAATGAAGCTGACTGCTGAGACATCGCCTCCTTTTTCTGAATATAGTGGCCGACAATTACATTGTCATTCTTACAACTACAGGATCATACCAAGGCCGTGGTTCTTTGAATTAAACTCAATACATGATTAATGGAGGGTAGGGTCACTCTGCTTTTTGAAGTTTACATCCTTATTCAAGTTTCACGGCCTTGTTAGAAACTTACCCTGAATAATTTGAAGCAAAAAGGATGAATCATTGAATATTTCCAATATAAACATGCATGATCTGTGGGGTTGTAAATATGTAGGCCATTATTTGTTAGAAAACCCTTCTTGTAGAGTTGACCCGACTGAAGTTTCGGAATCAAAATCGACCAACCCATTGAGTTAATCATCTGTTGAAATATGAGTTGCATCATTATGGTTAACCACCACATTATGGTGAAGGTCTCGCCACGTCGGTGCTTCCAATTGACATTGTTCTCGTATAGGGTCAATATACTCAAGTTGGTGACTCAAAATTACTAGTCCGCCTCTTGCTAAGCTTGGAAAGAAATCTCATGGATGCTATGGAGCTAAGTACACGGGCAAATGTTTTTCCCATGGTCGAAGTTGTTAAGAAAAATGTACACGACATTAATCTAGCATATTTCTGAAAATGTCCTCCTCTACATGTATACGTGCATCCTGGATGTCATGCTTTCATGCCCCTAGTTGCTTCTTGTTTTCTAACTCAGATGTACTGATATTCTGATATAGAAGACATGTTTGGTTTGCTTGTGACTTGCTCCAGACAGAGATCTAATGAAAGCTGTGAGGATGATGAACGTTGTTCTAGTGCCAATGAGCCCAACAATGCAGAGGTAATACAAGGAGTATAAGTTGAGGGTTAATTGTTGTTCTTGTATTCATTTGTGGTTAATTCATGGGGGGTTATAATGCACAAGAAGTGTAGCTGCATAAGTCGGATGCTGGGAATTGATAGCTGCCATAGATCAGGGTCAAATGGTTGTAGAACCTCAATGTGCAGGACGAATCAACAGAGAGCGAAGAACAAGAAAGGGACTACCAAATCGCCCACATTCGTTCCTTCTCAGAAGATGGTCAAGGTAAATCAGACCGTGGTTCATGAAACTTCTCTCCGACGTCAACCACATTGAACCACAGTTTTATATATTCCTAAATGCATATTTATTCTCATTGCACTCACATTGGAAACCTTTTTACTTAAAAGTATTTAGATTCCTCGACAATGTCTCTTTTCCATGTATCTGTAGTGATTCTGATTCAGATTAATGGTGAAGGTTATTCAGAGGATGATCTCTATGGAGAGGCATGGACCAAGGACTGGATACGATATGAAGAACTGAAATCGGAGCATGAAGATGATCAACCCACCCTGTCTTTCCAACAAAATATGGCCTTCGCATTATCCTCACCTTTTGACATTGCAAATATATCCCCACCTTTTCCGTTCTCATTTTATCCCGATAACGGGTGCTCTATTCACTTCTATTTTTTTCACTACTCTTTACCCAATTCAATATGAATGTTGTTTGTGGGAGAAAAGGAAAAAGAAGAAGGTGAATTTGTTCACAAAAGATTCATTGGCTTCCTTCTATGCTACAGGCAAGCCTTTCCGCATCCAGAACACGTTCATTCTTATCCTTCCGATGGTCTGCTTGCTAATCAAGAGGTTCCGATGTAGCTTAATTTCAATTTAGTCACTGCATAAACACTCTAGTTATATGCTACCATTGTAAAATCTGGAAATATGTCGTGCTGATAGGTTTTTGAGTCTGAGGATCACTCTATTTATCTGAACAATGACAAAGACCACCACCTCAACCACGACCACCACCATCGTCCTCGTCCAATTTGCTTTGTTTGCGGGCAACCTGTAAGAATTCTTGTGTTCTTTTCAGCAACATTTTCTCAAGAACAATCTATCAACTGGATACTTTTAGATGTTTGAATTTTTTATGTGATCAACCAAAGAATAAATTCACCAAATCTTCTGTCTTTTTTCCCTGCCTTTTCTTGGTTACAGATCCCAGTGGATGCAAATGGCCGTCTTCTGTTCCGTCGTCATCCTTTTTGGCGACAAAAGTACTGTCGTGCGCATGGGAGAGATGGGACACCATCTTGTTGTTGTTGCAAAAGATTGAAGGTAGGTTCCCTTTCAATTAGATGCCAAAATATCATCCACTAATAAATGATTTTTTAAATTAATGTATAATAGAGAACATTGTTAAGAAAACTAAAGTTCATTCTTTTCAATAACTAACCTGCATCAAGTTAAGAAAATTTCTTTTTCTCCTATTAGAAAGATGATGTCTTTCACAAAATAAATAGCCTAGGATGTATAGTTCTTTCGAAAATTTTGTAACTATAACCTCATCTTAGCACAATAGCTCTAAACTATTTGCCCTACATCACTAATTCTTGACTTTTTGGGATTATTGACATATTAAGATTCTTTCTAACAATTCAACAGATAGTTAATGATTTCAGAATTGAGACAGGCGTAACAGTAAAGTTCAATCATTCCGTATATGCTGAGCATTAATTCTCATGTTTGGAAATAATTACTCATCATTCTTCATATTTCACAATTAGAAGCATGATTGTTGTAAATATAGCTCCTAAAGTTGGATGGTTTTTTGTTAAAAATTTCTAATAGTACTTCCTTACACTTTGGAATGTAAAGAAATTAGATGAATATGTAAATGTTTTTTATACTAAGGTCTAAAGCATAATTTCATCTAAATCCGCCCGTGCAAATATCTCAAACGTGTAAATATTTACAAATATTGAACCTAAAAGACTAATCATACCAGCAAAGTAAACCTCTAAAAGCAACCAAAGTGCTGAAATAATTTCGTACTGATAAATTTCAATTAGTGTTGGTGAGCGTCAAAAAATGGTTGGAAAAAGAACGACTAACACTTTCTAACACTTACATGAAATTACTAATTTGTTAATAGTTTGCAATTACTAATTTTTGTACTAATTTACTTTCATTTGCATAAGTTAATAACACTTTGACTGTATTAACTCTTTTATGAAATTATCAACTTAAATTAGAGCGACTTACCAAATTTTGACAAATTATATTAACAATATTAATTTTGGATTATCAACTCTCTTTTGAGTTATTTACCAATGTTATCGTTGTTTTATAATTTACTAACTTTTCTATTTAGTTACCAAATTTTGATTTACCTTAGTTTTTTTTTCATCATTTATCTTAGTTAGCACTCCCTTATATTTATCAACTCGTTTTTGAAATTACCAATCTAAATTAGTGTGACTGAGCAATTTTTATCTCATTTAATTACCACATAATATTGGATTACCAATTCTTATTTGAGTTACTTACCACTATTCATTTGGGTTTTTTTTCAATTGTCGGCATTTTATTGTTAGTTACCAACTTTTAGTTGTATTTCTTAACAATATCTTAAATTTCCAACTCTTTTTAGAAAGTAGTTGCCTTTATTAACCGATTTACCAAATTTTCTCTAGTTATGTTACCAGGTAGTATTGCATTATCAACTCTCATTAGACTTATTTATCAAGTTTATTATTATTTTAATTTTTTCTATTCTTTACAAATTTTTATTTATCTTTTTAAACTACATCTAACTATAACTTAAGTGAATTATCAACTTAGACTAGTTCTGTGTTATCAACTCTTTTATGTTAGGTATTGATATGCATTTGTGTCCTCTATTTTACTAACTATTCTATAGGGTAACTTAATCGAGAAAAAAGTTGTTTTGTCACTGTGACAAATGTTGGTAATTTCATATAATAGTTACTATATGCAAAGTATTATTAAGAAAGGTAAATATTTTGTTAGCATAGTAAAAGACAAGTGTTATTTTATTAGATATAAGAGAACTTGGTAAATTAAAGAAAAGCAAACAAATGTTGGCAATTAACTCAAATAACAGTTAGTACTGTAAAACTAGTTGGTAACTTAATTGTAAAAAATGATTGATAAGTATAGCAAATAAAAGTGGTAACTTCACAGAAAGTTGGCGAGTTTCAAAAAAAAAAACTAATAGATTGTAAGCAACTCAAAAAGAGAGTTGGTAACTTAGAATTAATTGGTAACTTAGCTGAAGAAAAGTTGGCTAGTCATACAAAAAAGATTTGTAACTTGATATAGTAGCTGGTTAGTTTAAGACGTTGTTAAAGAAGGTAAACAAAAATTGGTAAATGATAGAAATATTTGGTCAAAGATACGAGATATACTCTCTCTCTCTCTCTCTCAAAAATCCCAATTCATTGTTGTCTAATTAAATTAGAAAAAAAGTTCTATAAACATACATTTCTACTTTCTAGTGCATACATTTTTTTTATTTTCTCATAATTCATAATAAAAATAATTTTCACATAATGGCTCATAAATTTCCATAAGTTTATAGGAATGGGCAAGAGGCGGTAGTGAGGCAAGTTTTTAGCCCGCGGGACGAGGACAGGAGACGTGATCCCCCGCCCCGCCCGTGCCCATGCCCGTGCCTAACATTGTCCCAGAGCGACTATTTCATGAAGTTTGTAACTTGTTTGACTCTATAAAACCAACCCATGAGTTCATTTTTCCAAACCCATCCATGCTGCAATTTCTTATTATTAATTAGTTAGTGATAATATTATAAATGCTATAAATAACAAATAATAAAAGATGGCAAATATATTTCGTAATGTAATGCGGTGCTCCGTGGGGCCCCGTCGCGCCATGAAAGAAGAACCGCGCACCTCATATATTTCTCTGTTTTGCCTATTGACTGGCTGTACATCATTTTGAAGTGTTTGAGATCAGAAGGACCTCACATCAGTAGCATATTTCTATGCATGCCTTTACCCAAAAAGGATTAAGCTAAATGCCTTCATGTTTACCAACAATCTGTTTTAGCTTGCACAAACTCCCCAGCAATTGAGAGAGGTCGCTAATGCTTGTGAAACATTGTGCAGCCCAAAGGATCAACATATCCAACCCTGAGCGACGGTCGGCGGTTATGCCCAGAATGTCGTGACTCCGCAATCATGGACGATCAGGCATTTAAAGCTCTCGAACATGAAATACGAGAATTTTATGAATACTTAGGCATGAAAGTCCACCAGCGAACGATTCCGCTATACCTGGTGAACGAGCAAGAGATGAAGGAATCCAAAGCAAGAGATGGAAAGAATGTAAGACGAAATTCGGTTTATAATTATCGTCTTGCTTCTTAATCTGGCTTGCTGTTTTATATGATCCGCTTGTTTAAAGACTGGTTTACCCAACCGCTTGGTAAATCAATGTAATTGTCCGCTTTCTAGCATTAATATTCTATGGCATCATCAATGAAATTCCACATAATTCTAAGCCAAGAAATTGCAAAAAGTTTTCATCCCACGCTCCTAATCTGAGTGTCTGCTCCGCACTGGACAGGGGCATCATCGACTGGACGGGACATATGGAAGGACAACGTCGTACGTTCACACTATGTACACCGTATGTGCTTCTTTGCACCCGAGATTTTCTCATTGTTCACATCGTTTACTAGTGTCAATCTAGCAACAAAGCGGTAACCTTTTCTTTCTGTTGGCTCTGTTTGAATCTTAGAATGTGGAAGGTAGACGACATACGCTGGTCGCCCACTCAAGAGTTGTATCCATAAGAGTGTTGTATGGTCTCCCGAGGTACTTTTCTCCCCTCCCAATTCCTACCAATTACAATTTCAAAGTAAGGTCTCATTAAAAAAAAGTACAGATTGAGACTAGTTATCTTTGATTAGAGACTTCACAAGAGAAATTGATGTTTTGTACAGGTTGTTCACAGGGCAAATCCTCACTCATGAGATGATGCATGCATGGCACGTACTTGAAATTGACGGTGCGTCTCTTGATTATGATGCATTTTCCACCTCTAATTTTAATCATAATACGTTCGAAAAATCGACTAGTCTTTTAAAGTTAGCTTGCTAGCCTAGTGTGATCTATAACACTGTCGATACCGCACATTATTATGCTTTAACTCCTAAGATCATTGATCGGGTAGTTAAACGTTTTACCCCTATGCGACAACTAGGAGCAACAGATTTTCGTAACGAAAAATAAAAAGAAGAAATCTGGTAAGCAGATTAGTAAGTTGCCACTTTTTTTTGGGATAGCATCCGACCAAAAAGTTTAATACTTCAATTGACTTCATAATAAGATGTTCTGATCTTTCCTTTGGGACATTAGGGTTTTGAACTAGAAAATTGTCATATGCTTGACAGGTTATCACAATTTGAGTCTTGAGGTCAAAGAAGGCCTTTGTGAAGTTTTGGCTCACACGTGGTTGGGTTCTCAAATCCGGTCCATGTCTAAGAGCAAAGCTGCACCGTCTCCACTGTTCAACTTTGAGAAAAGGCTTGCCAAGTTTCTTCGGCATGGAATCGAATCAAGAACCGATCATCCTTACGGCACTGGGTTTCAATTAGTGAAAAGGGCGACGGACATGTACGGCCTTAAAGGCACGCTCGATTACATCCGTATGACAGGAGTCTTTCCTAGCTGATCTATACATCTTTTCAAGAAATTTCCTAGCCGATCTCTTCGTCCAAGTATAAACCAAAAGCCTGCTTTATGTTTGGCTCGGTAATAAGATGAATGTGTGTGTATAAGATGCTAAAAAAATTAGCCGGCTTCCTTGTGATTCCATTTTCATTTGTATTGTCATGAAATTTATTCGGTTCATCTAGGAGTTGCTTGAGCCATCTTCTCTGCATGCAATCCTAAGAAAGGGAGATGCGCATCCGTGGGCTAAGAGCAGAACAGAGATTTGGTTCCCACAACACTAGATGCAGACATATCATATTTAGGTCACCCAGTCGAGTTTTCACCTCACGTATTATCTAGCTCATGACATTAGCAGGAGTTTCCATCAGCTCGGGTTTTACCTGCTTAGTTGATCTTCCTGGTGACATAATATTGTTCTTGACAAATAGGGAAATTTATCGATTGATTAAGCGGATGAGCAACAACTATCCAAAGGTATTATTTTGTAACGTGGACGTGGCTGCAAATGACTTTTTGGAGTGTTCAGATAGGCAGATGATCAGTTAGGCCGGCTCAGACCATGGGTTTACACTGTGTTCAGTAAATAAGTCATAACTTTTGATCTAAGAAGAGTTACAGGAGCCATGATAACAATTCGGAAAGCTTGTTTTGAGAGAAATGCTGTGGTGAAAAGGGTTCTGCATTTGTTGTCATTTTGGGCCTCAAAATCCATTAGTGTTAGGGCGGTATTTCTTCCCTCAGTTGAAGCTTGACGTCAGAGAAATGATGTAGTTTGATCTTGTCCGACGGAAGGCTAGATGCTTAATATGGGTTTGTACACTCCCGTGTAGTGTTGTTATCTTTTTGGAGAAGTTTGTGGTATTTGTTTGGTTCGTCCGTTGATTAGAGCAGCACACCTCACCCACAAACGAATGGCCAAACTGATGCGATTAACCCTACTTGGGAAATTCGATCTGAAGTGTTCATGAGGGGAACCGAAGCAATGGGATTTCGCTTTAGCTCAGGCAGAGTTAGCGGACAACAGCGCGATTCGTTCAGCTACAGGGAATATCCTTTCTTTGTTGTCTACAGGAGATGTCCTCGCCATGTGCTAAGTCAGCCAAGAAGAGCATATAGCAGCTCAAAACTTGGCAGGTGCAGTCGACTCAAGAGGCTGTCAAGCAGAAACTAGGGGAGGCTAACGCCAAGTATAAGCTTGCTGTGGACCATTATCATAGGAAGAAAGTGTTTGCTACAGGTGACTGATGTGCTGGTTTTCGTGCGAAAAGAGCGGTTTCCAGTGGGTCACTACGGTAAGTCCGAGCCGAAGAAGTACGGGCCATACAAAATTAAGCAGCGGATTAATGATCATGCCTATTTAGTGGATCTTATACATTCGATGAGCGTTTCTTCCACTTTAATGTTAATGTTGCTGATATTTAGAGCCATGGTACCCCATTTGCAATTGTTTTTTAGGCCTCAAAATCAATCATTATGTTAGAAAATTCAACTCAAAAGCTAAATCGATAGATGAATAACGTGCTTTAAAAATAAATATTCAAACATTCCTCCTCACACTTAGACAAAATATAAATGGGAGACAAATAATAGGTCTAGAAAATCTTTGATATAAGACACTGCTCAGTTCCAATACCATGTTTGAAAGTTCAATCCAAAAGTTTAAACTTACGAATTAAGAGAAACCACGTGAATATACAGAACATATAGAACCCGTTGTCAAACGATATGAAACAATATTTGGTTTATGCATGTTTTAAGACACTTTAATATTTTAGGTCTATTTTCTACATTATTTTAGCCTTTTGTCCGTTTTTACGAATTTCTAGACCGCTTAGAGTTTTTATAAGTTTTTCCATATCTCCTAAAGTATTATTTTGTTTTTAAATTTTTTGAGTATTGGACAGATTCTGACGTAAGTCTACATAATACGGATTGAGAGAGTTTTTTCTCTCAAATTTTTAGCAAATGAGTTCTGCAAGGATACCCGTAAAAGGAAAAGATAATGATAGGCTCTTTAGACATAATATTCAATAAATAACTGTGAAAATGCCTTATCTATAAAGGTTCGATCATAATCATTCATTTTATAAATTTCGTAGAATAGATATGGATGGATCCTACCAAATAAACGGTTGTGATGGATCCGTTTCGCCGGACCCGGGTCCATACGAGAAATTCCCCAAAGGAGAGGGTGGTCCGTGATTTCAGTGCGAACCTTCAAAATTCCACCCGGCTCGTAAACCCTTTCGGCCTTAGTAACCACCAAACTGTTCTCTCGTCGTCTCCTCCTGAAGAGAAATCACTGCGGAATTCATTCCTTTTCGTCACATTCTCGCATAGCCGCGTCGTGGGTCATCTCCAGTCTTGCCTTTCCTAGAGGGGATGATTACGTGCCTTGGTGAGAAGTTCAGGAAAAAAATCGTTGCCTGCACCGAAGATGTTTGATGTTTTGCCTGACAGCAGAGTCCCTCTCGTTTTCGCTCCAAACCTTCGTGATGATGTTTGAAGGCAGATACAGTATATGTTTCGGCTCTTGACTGCGCCCGGTTTATGCTTTCACCCTCTTCCTCGTTGTGGGTTTTGTGTTGCTGAGCGCGTCCTCGTCGAAACGTTTATCGGCACAGCAGGTGTTTGATGCATCCAGTCAATTCGTCTTTCACTTGTAATGTCGTGGTAGCCGAACCCATCATGACGTTCAGGAGCGAGTTTGATTTGTTGTATGTTTGACGTTGGAATTTGTCGAAAGCCCATGTTCCGCAAGCATTTCTTTTCTGCTGGAACTGGCATCCTGTCCACGAGCTTAAACCAGCAGACTCGCTTATTTTCTCGTGACCCTTTCCCTAGCAAGGTCTCGCACTACCTCTATAGAGCCAGAATTATTGACTCCATAAGGCTTGTGCTTCGATCGAATTCCCAGAGTTTGCTTACGACTCTCTTGAATGACCGCCTTTTGGACTCTTTTGTTGTCACTCACGCTCTCCGTTCTGCTCCTTCTGCTGATTCGGCACTCTCAGTAATTGACGTTCTCGAATCAAATTCGAACTTTAGTCATACACAAAGTACCATTTACGCCTTGGCCAACATTTTGGCCAGATCAGGTCGAAGGAAGGAACTTGATGCTTTGGTTGATGCCATTGATGCCAGGAGCTTTAAAAATGTTCGGGTTAGCCATATGAACCTTATGCAGTGGTATGCAGCAACTGGAGACATTGACTCAGTTCTTGATACGTGGGATAAGTATAGAGAGTTGGACAGACATGTGTGCACAGAATCTTATAACATTGTCATGCGCCTTTATGCAGAAAACGGTGAAGATTCCAAGGCTGTGGAGATATTCCATAGGATGATTGTGGAAGGAGCAAACCCTAATTCTAGAACATATACAAATATTATTGAGCACCTTGTGAATTCTGGGAAGCTGGATTCGGCACTGGAGGTTTTCAGTGTTTTACCATTAATGAGAATCAAGCGCACATCGAAACAGTTCTCAATTTTGGCAGAGGGTCTTGTAAGTGTTCGAAGGTTTGATGACGTGAAAATTTTACTCAGCAATATGCACGCTGAAGGGATGCTGCCTGTTCGAGCTCTGCTTTGCTCGTTGCAACATATGAAAGAGGCAGGATGTATTCATGAGAACGATGAAATTCTTTCTGAAATGTTGCCAAATGAGAGGATAAAAAGTATCGAGTATTTTGTGGATGGTACTGAAGACGACGACGACGACGACGATGAGGCTGAGGATGAGAAGGAGTATGGTGTTGCTTGTGATGTCAATGAGGTCAATGGGGTCAAATTGAAACCATGGCTAGATCCTAGAGCTTTGGCAAATGCCTTGCAGAGTTGGAGCCCCAATGAGGTTTCGGAATTGGAGAATGCAAAGTTTGTGTGGACAACTCGCTTGGTTTGCAAAGTCCTTCGAAATTTCAAATCTCCAGTGGCAGCTTGGAACTTTTTCTGCTGGGTTGCTTGCCGACCAGGGTTTACTCATGATGTTTACACAGTGCAGAGAATGATGACCCTTTTAGCACGACATGGGCATGTCCAATTGGTTAATCAGCTGATGGATAAAATTAGACAGGAGGGACTAAAGCTTCCATTCAGTACCATTAAATTGATTATCGACTTTTGTGGCATTTCGAAAGATCCTGATTCTGCTTTGAAGATTTTTCGTCACGATAGGACTCTCTGTGGTTCTATTTCGAAGTTTAAGCTGATGGTTCTATATTCATCATTATTACGGACATTGACCAAGTGCAGTAGGAGCTCTGATGCTCTTGAGGTGCTTGATGAAATGATTTTAAATGGCATTTGCCCAGATATTCAAACTTTTTCTGGTTTGATGGATTATTTTGCTAAGCAAGGAGACATCAAAAATGTGCAGAAGATTTTTGGAATGGTTAGGCAGAGCGGCATCGAGCCAGATGCTTACGTGTTTAAGGTTTTGATACATGGTTACTGCAAGTGTGAAAGAGCTGCTCTTGCATGGAGGGTGTTCGAGGACATGAAAAGCTCAAATCTACTTCCTGATTATGCCACGAAGGAGCTGCTAGTGAAAAGTCTTTGGAAGGAAGGCAGGAGGAGAGAAGCTGCGATTGTAGAAGAAAGTTGTGAGGAGATAAATGATTCTCTTCCTCTTGCTTTACGTGGTCATATATGGACTGTGAGCTCAGCCAACCTCAGTCAAGTTTATAACGTCTATGCAAGTAGTTTTATGTTAAGCTGTGATCCAACATCAAATGGGGAGGGCTAGTTATCTACTGTTTTTCTAAGTTGCATTCTTCACAACAATCTGAAAAATGTAATTGTTACTTCTGTTAGCCCCTGGACCAAGTTTAGTTCTGTCAAGTCATAGCTGACACGCTTAGTCTGTCACATAATGGAGCTGCAGATGGAAGCATAATGTAATCTAATATCTTTTTAATTTATTTTTCTGTGCGGATGCGAGCATAATGTAATTTAATTTCTTTTGAATTATGTCTTGTTTGAGGGAAACACCAATGTTGTTGTCCTGCATAGTTGCAGTGGTATCTAGTGCCAAAATCTACATATACTAGTACTTGCGTTGAACAGATATTTTCCATATTAAAAGAAATTATTTGAAGTCTGTTTACTAACTACTGTTAGTCTTCATACTGTATCATTCTTTCTGTTTTGGTCTTTATTCATCTACAGACTTCATGTCAATCTTAGACTGGAGATGTGGTCATCTGTCTATGAATGATCCAATGGTCTATGCTAGAAGATCTTGTTGCATTTCCCAAATTGGTTCTCATTATCTACGGAGACCGAGTCTGTATATGTTTGTACCTTTCAGGATATCAGAAAGCACTCTATTTCAACCAGCTGAATCATCTTCCCGTGCATGCTTCGTATGTTCATGGGGATTTGTTCTGACGATTTGTTTGTGTGTGGGAGAGCTATTTTCTGCTTGGCCCCTTCACTATGGTTCTTTCTGCTCAATCCTATATGCTTGATTTGTAGTAGATAAAACGATGAGACACAGCTGTTCTGCTGTTCTGTCAGACTATCATACACAACCAATTTTCAGGCGGGAGCCTTTGGCCTGGAGCTTCCTTATTCATTCCTTGTTTCTTTGTTTATTTTGTTTTTAATTATTGTTGTGTTGGACCATATGAACATAGTTTCCTATTTTGATGTATTGCAAGTAAGCTCATTCAACGGACATTCTGTTCAACTGTTTAGCAACATCATGCCGACCTTCGAGCCTTTGAGGTTAGTCCATCGAAAGCATGTTCCCGAGTCAAATTGGTAGGTTACCAACAAAGGGTCATCTAAGGCATCGTTTGATGAGACAAAGTTCCCAATTTATATTGAGCCGTTTACGGTCTACAGCGAGGAACCTCACATCAATTTGCTAACTTAATCAGTTAACCCAGATGAAAAGGCAGCTAATACTTTGTCTCTCAGGAATAAGAAATTGACTCGAGTTCAATTTCAAGATATGACAAAAATTGGGGGAAGTATAATTCTTCGCGAGTCTCATAGCTGAAAGTCGAAATGGAAGTCTAGGCAACTACGTTCTCCTATTCTGTGCAGTCATTTCATCAATCCTTACGCGAATGGTAATAAATCTAACTTCGCAAGCGATCCTCCCGTGTATGATATCCCTCTTAGTTATCGATCCAACATCATATTCTGTCGGTTTCTTTGTGGTATTTGAATTTTTTTAAGATAGATTTGTGGCTTCAAGAGTTTTATTCTATCGTTTGGCTGACTTTCTATGTGTGATAAATATGCAGGATGATCTCTTTCGCCGGCCGAACCGGAGTTTTCTCATCTTACATTAATCTGATGCTCATCACATATTCTCTTTCGAAAGCAACTACCAGCCAAAACAAATACAGATTCCGTTGCCGCCTATTATTTTCAATTATAGACATACATTGCATGTCAAATTGCTATTCACTCCACTCTATGCACAAAATCTGTCCCAAAACATAAAAATAAAAAATCTATTCACAAAAGCTTATTTAATCATTGGATCCAAATGAGAATTGTTCGATTCAAAGCCAAAACAAGAACCTACTTCCAGGTTTTATTAGGACAAGAGTTCCCTAGTTCCATGCGAAAGGTTCACACAAGAATGGGTTTTTGGCTTTTTCCAACCTCAGAGCTTCACCCTCATAAAACTTGGGTTTGAGAGGTTCAATTCATCCTAGATGATAGCCAAATGGCCATCTTTCGTTCCCCCTCAAAATCTCTACTTTTTCTGCATTTCTTCGTCTTCATCGTCTCCATCACAACTCAACCACTTCCTAGACCGAGTGCCAACTTCTCGTGCTTCGCCAACTCGCCGACCTCATGCCCAACATACGTCGCCTACATCACGCAAGAACCTGAATTCATCGACCTTGGAAGCATCTCCGACCTGTTCGGTGTCAGCCGTTTATCCATCTCGCAGGCGAGCAACCTGGCTTCTGAAGATGACCCTTTGTACCCCGGCCAGCTTTTGCTCATACCGATCACGTGCGGCTGCAGTGGCAACAGTTTCTTCACCAACATAACCTATCAGATCAAGGAAGGTGACAGTTACTTCCTGGTCTCAATGAAAGCATTTGAGAACCTCACGAACTGGCAAGTCGAAGAGGAAATGAACCCAGGGATCGATCCAAATATCCTGCAGATTGGAACCAAAGTCACCATTCCTCTCTACTGTAAGTGCCCGGCAAAAGCAGATTCCGAGGCAGGCTTCAACCTTCTTGTTACTTATGTATGGCAGCCCGGAGATGCACTTTCATCAGTGGCCAAAAAGTTCAACGTGACACCTAGCGATATAGTTAAGGAAAACAACGGAGTGAATCTTACTGCATCTGTTGGTCATCCTGTCGTCATACCAGTATCACAATTGCCAGCTCTTTCTCAACCGCTGAATGCTCCTCCGAAGAGAAAAGAATCCAAGCATGAGTGGATTATTGTAGTTTTGAGCTGTGTAGCAGCAGCTATTTTAGTCGTCTGGTTAGCGTTTTTGTTAGTCTGTGTTCGCCGTTTACATAGGAAAGACCCGAAGATTCTGAATCGGAATGCTTCCCGTTGGGAGGACAGAAATCTCATCAAAACTAAGGAGTTCTCAAAAGAAGGTAGATCTGAGTCATCCAAGACGAAGGTCATCCAAGATAAGTTACTTCCCAGCATTTCGGACTACTTGAGCAAGCCAATCATGTATGGGGCTAGAGAGATCATGGAGGCAACGATGAATCTTGATGAGAATTCTAGGATTGATGGCTCAATGTTCCGCGGCACAATTGACGGGAAAGTTTTCGCCGTGAAAACAGAAACTAAGGGCAAAAACACGGAGGAGCTAAAGATTCTACAGAGAGTCAACCATGCGAATCTGATAAAGTTAATGGGTGTTTCGTCAGATGCAAGCGGCAACTTATTTATGGTATATGAATACGCTGAAAACGGTTCGCTCGATAAGTGGCTGTACCAGAGGCCTTCGTCCTCTTCAGAGTCTGTCAACTTCCTCACTTGGATTCAGAGATTGGGCATCGCACTTGATGTCGCCAATGGCCTCCAATACCTGCATGAGCATACTCAACCGAGCATCGTCCATGGAGATATCAGAGCAAGCAACATACTTCTGGACTCCAATTTTAAGGCCAAAATATCAAACTTCTCCAAGGCCAGACCAGCTACAAGTGCGGCGATGTTGAAGGTCGATATTTACGCTTTCGGGTTACATTTGCTTGAGTTACTCTCAGGGAAGCGGGCCATGGGTATGAAAGAAGTAATGGAGATCTTGGAAGCGGAAGAGAATAGAGAGGAGAGGTTGATGGAATGGATGGATCCAGATTTGGAGAGCTTTTATCCAATTCATGACGCGTTGAGCCTAGCAACCTTGGCCCAGGCGTGCACAGCAGAGGAATCTTCTGTGAGGCCAAGCATGGCGGAGATTGCGTTTAATCTCTGCGTGCTTGCTCAGTCGTCTTCGGTGGTGTTGGAAAGGTCTTGGACTACAATAATTGAAGCAGATGAGAGAGTTCAAGTTATCATTCCGGCCATTGCTCGCTGAATCTTTGAGACGCAAGGTTCACGTAAACGTCTTCTCTTTTCATCTTGTAATAAAAGCCGATAAGCACTAGTTTCTGTAAATTTCACAACTCATTGGATTGGACTCGTGATTTTCCTCTTTCTGAATTCCCTTGTAATTGTCTCTACTTGTAGATTTATCAATGCAAGTATAGTTGAAACTACAGTAATATTCATTTTCCTTTCATAAACAGTGCCCTGGAAACACTGAACAGTGAGCCAAAACTAGGGATAAACTAGCAAGAGTTGACCACAAATTTTCGTACGAATCTTTTCGACATAAATGCAACATATCGAAAGCTGCAACTGTTCGACCAAAAAAAAGAAAAAGAAAGCTGTTCCTGTCACAACAAGACAAAGGTATCGCAATGAATCATCTCTTTTGCTGTTTCGCTAGATATACATGAAATAGGATCTTGTATTCAGCATGAGAACAGAAAAAACGAATATGTAGACTGTCCGTATCAGTGAGTCTCTGTGCCAACAATCTAATTACAGCTCGAAGAAAATGCAGAAGCTTGGCAACCTCAGGAGGATGTTCTAGTGTTCCCAGGCCAATGATGCCGTGAAGACCTTCGACAGAGACTGCACGATCTCATCCATGGCAGGGCGATCCGATGGATTTTTCTTCAGGCAACTCTCGATTATTCTGATAACGTAAATGGCAAGGTCCAACGGGTACATCTCTCTCATCGAAGGATCAATTAACTGCATCAGTCTCTCGTGCCCGCCATCCTCAGTAAGCACCAAACTCACAACATCATACGCTTGCATGTTTTCTCCGCCACACAAAGAAATGACCTCTTTCCCAGTCATCATTTCCAGCAAGAGAACGCCAAACGCATAGACATCTAAGTTCACAGAGATCAAACCGTTCTCCAAGTACTCGGGAGCCATATAACCTTTCGTCCCAACGATGTGCCTTGTCAAGGCGAATCCTCCATCCTCTCCTTCTGTCGATCTTGCGAGTCCGAGACTTGCTATCTTGGCCCTAAAGTCGCCATCAAGAAGAATGTTGCTGCTCTTGATGTTCTTGTGGACGTGAGGTGGGGTCGTGAAGTGGTGGAGATAGTCAAGCCCGGTGGCCACATCCAAGGCGATTTGCATTCTCTGCATCCATGTTAAGAATCTTCCTTCGCTGTTATTTTGGTAAATCCACTCGCTCAAGGGTCCGTTCACTGCATATTCATATACGAAGTACCAATGCCCCTCGTCGAAGCATATACCCGAGAGGCGTATAAGATTGGAGTGGTTGATCTTGTTCAGTATGTCCACTTCCCTCGACACATCCCCGTTCATTTTCTTGATCGCCGCGTAATCTCCATTGATTTTGCCACGGTAGACCGATCCCTTGATCAAACAGCTGGAACTGAAGTTTTCGGTTGCCGCTTGCAGCTCTTTATAAGTATACACCTTGATGGACTGCGCAACGCTGGATATGCTATCGAGGAAATCCAGAGAGTCCTCATCCAACTTCTTATTGCTTGGATTTTCAAATGCCTCAAAGCTATCTAAGACCATGGTCGAGTCAATTTTCTCTCTCCTAGTCCTTCCTCTGAAGAACTTAAAGAAAACGACTGTGCCTAACACTGCAATCACAGCAATTCCACCAAGAACACCGATAGTGACATAAACCCATGTCTTCGAACTTTTGCCTGGGGGAGTTGTAATGATAGAAGGCGGTGATGGCAGAGGAGGAGACGGTGATGTGGTCTGAGAACTCGTGGGCGGATTTTCCATCGGTATCAGAAGTGTGGTGAAAGCATAGATGGTTTCCCCTACAGAGAGATTATTAGCTTTTAAAGTAGCCGTGGCATCTGCTCCAAATCTCGCAGTAATATCAGAAATGTCGTCGCCAGCCACAGTAGCATAGGTCAAGAGATAATTTATACCCGCATCACTCTGGTTTTTTGTTGGACAAGCACACCTAACAGGGACAGTAATTTTTGCACCAACAGACAAATCAGAAGCACTAATGTTGTTCACATTCTGGAGAGCTTGGCATGTTGAGAGGGCTTGGTAAGTGTTATTGGCAATGGACAAGTAGTTATCTCCTGACTGGACAACATAACTGGCATTCTCTTGATAGTACTGACCTGAACATGAGCAAGTGATGGGGACTATCACCAAATGATCGGTACTAAAGCTTGCGGATCCGGCGACCGAGTTTATCAACGAGACTTGAGACGGGCTCGAGGCCAAGAGAGCCGAGACAGACGAGACCGTGTTGTAAGGGGATCGGGACCGGAAAATGAGGTAGGATTGGCAGCTTCTGTTGAGGCCATTGCAGGTGTATCCGAATTGCGAGGAGGAGTTGTCGGTGGAGGTGCAAGCTGTTGTGGTCAAGCCCACATAAGGTTGCTGGGCAAGAACCACCAAAGGTGATGAGGCCAACGCGAAGAAAACGAAGGTTGAAATGAGGGAGAAGATAGACAAGAGAGCCATTGTTCTTTGTTTTCGGGAATGATCTGAAGGAGGGGGTTGTGACAGGTGCTTTATGCGGGGTTTTTGGAAGCTTTATGAACATTGACTTTCCTGAAGGAAGAGAGACAACTAACGCAAGGGGCGAATGCTTCAGCTTTTGGATTGTTGGACCTTACCATCTACGTAAGGTGCTCTACTTTATTCCCACACTTATTGACGGTCCAGAAGGGAAGGCAAATTAAAATTCTTGCACACTTTTGAATCTTTCTTCTCCCCAATCACTGGTGGTGCCACCGAAGATCGTTCAACACACGCTAACCAATCTTGTGGGTTAACATAGACTACAGATTCTGACCAAAACAAAAACATAGGCCATAGATTTTCTGGGTCTGTCTCATGTCATCGTGCTGGCCACAGCAGGGAAACAAATCTGACACTATAAAAAAAAACAAGCAATTGGTAGCAAAAACTCTAATATACAACCCAAAAGAAGAACGAATCAAAAGTTTCAAGAGTATTTCTTTCTTTTTTCTTTTGTCATTGTTAAAATAACGACAATAAAGTTTGATTGTTTCTTAAGTTTGTACTGTTGTTTAAGTGGACGAAAGATGGTTGGTAGTTACTTGGTTGCGGCAACTGAGGAAGAGGTTCGGGAAAGAGGCGGCGAAGTTGACTTTGAAATGTTCTATGTTCTGGCAAATCTGTTCACGCAAACCAGGAGATTTTCCCACATGGTATGGATAAGTCAAAGGCTAAATCGAGACGTAAATGCAATGTTAAGCTTGTCTTGAAATTCGAGGTAGTGGGCTGCCTATATTTGATCCAACATTGGTCCTACCACACCGAGGAGTCTCCTTCATAGTCTGACAAAAACAGACGATTCTTTCGGCGTTCTAACGAGGTTCGTCGACCCTCCTAACTTTAGAAGCAGTGAGATTCACATCAGAGCTCACATAGAGAACACGGATCCTCACATTTCTTGCTCTGTAACTGATCTTGAAAACTACTTGAATAAAGTAAAACAAGTTCAGTACCGGGGTGAATGCTCAGCATCAACGAAAAGCTCGAGCAAGCATGATTTGTATCAAAAAGTGCAAGATCGCCATCTCATTTGAAGCACGCAGCCTACCAAGTACCTTTACACAGGTAATATATTGTAAAGAAAAAGAGAAAGCCCACCCCAAGACAATAACCGAAGCAATGGCAATTGCAACACCAATTAGCGAGCCCGTCCATGCCCCATATCTCATTTATGACCAGTATAATTCCTAGAATTAGACAAAATATGCCACCCACCATGCTGTCACGTAGTCCGTTGACGATCCAGTCAGGAGTTATGACGAATAAGATACAACGAGAAACTGCACATTAAGAGATGAACAGGCAGAGCTAGTTAGAAGCTTTTAATGTAGAAGAACAGTGACTCTGACGTTCAAGTTCTCCAATAGGAACAGTTCTTAGAGTACAGAGACAGTTTCAAACCTGTGATGGTTCGAGGAAAGAAGAGGTTGGCTGCGACGGCGAGAAAAGCAACCCAACAACCAAACTGTCCCCTGCATCATTGTTTGGGTAACATAAGTAACCGAAACAGAAGGTTGCAAAGAACGTCTTCTAGAAAAGTGAGTGTGAATTAAGTCATTTTCCGTGCTAACAAAAAGCTATGATTCACAATCTACCTAAGAATTTTGAAGAGCACAGTGGGAAAACTTGTGAATAGATACAATACAAGAGCAGTAGTCTGCATGGATGATTTCCTCCCAGCTCGATTTATGATCAACAAGAATCTGCGAAAGAAAGAAGGTGAATAAATACTTTTGGCTAAGAATAGTCCAGCGCCTAGCATACCCCAAGCATAAAGCAGAACTCAAATCAGAATTAAGGAAATAGCATGGCAAACTCAGGGCTCGTATTAATAGGGATTAGTAAGAAATGAAAGAAAATTTGTAGCACTTGTGACAAAGTCACTACAAGTCCCAATCTTTCAATGTGCATATGATACTTTTAAGAGGCTTTCCCCAACAATACTACCTCTAAGAATGTCGTATGACCAACCAACATAAATCTTCGTGCCGATTATCTTTATTTCACAGCCATGTGATCTGCTTTAACAATAACATGCTGTCTAAACTATCATGCCGATTAGTCTACTCAGAAGGAATAGTGCCTCTGAAGAAGCACAATCACATAGCACAGCTTCTTGTAATGGTGCGATCTTTCTGTATAAGTTAAAGCTTGGCATAAATAATGATATAACTCTGGCATCTGAAACTGAAGTGTTTTTCCCTTTTCAATTCAGTGTGGTATTCCAAAACTTATCAACCTGCACCTCTTTATAAATCTGAACCACATAAAAAGTAGGACCTTTGGCCAAAATTCAAACTAGAATATAGTCGAATGAGGAAATTAGGCTTTATTTGACAAACATGGGTTCACTTAATGGAGAAGAAATTGGTTCATTAATACGCGACAACCAATAAGAGATTGAAATGACATAATTTTGCTTTAGACTGATATATTCCAATATTTTCGCCTTACCATATCTCTATTCCGAGCTCCTCAGCTCCTTTCTCACACACAATTCCACCACAAGGCAGCACCACCTCAAGTTAAAACCTAAGCAAAATACCCTTGCATCATCGCTTAGTCGTTACTTCAATTCTTTTGTCCAACAAATGCTACAAGCTTTTGATTTATTCAAATACTCAACCATGCCTGCTCTTCTTTCTGGTCAAACTTATACAAATCCGGACCAGACTGCATTGCAAACACACAGTTGCAGTGTTTTATTTACATGCATTGCTATGTAACAATTGAACCATACTGCATTATAAGATCCTAAGGGCTAAGGATTCACTAGTTCCTAAACAATCTTCCATCACTTCTCAAGACATAGTTACTTCACAAGTACACCAATTTGTATCTAACAATGATTGCAGGTTCGAACCTCCAACATCATCTAACTAGGAAGAGATTAAGTTAGCAACAATTCAGTATCGCAGTAGGCATTCCATTGTCCATCAAATTAACCATACGGCGTACATACATGGACCCTAAGTTTAGCGGGATAAACATGATTCAAGCAAACAGTCGTTTATTTACGAGGCATAGCCTGGAAGCATGTCAAAATCTTCTCAAATGCAACTAAATAGTGTGCAGATTTGAGCCGTACTAATGACGCAATAGGCAGCGATGTGCCATTACACTGCTACCCACCAACAACTGACCCACATAACACGAAGTTTATATACACTCAGATCATAAAGCCAGGACTAGCAACTATACAAAACTTGTGTCGGAAAATCAAAACCTTATACTTTGCTTTTCAACTCCATTAACAGAAAAGAGATAAAGAATATATATTTTTTCTTTCCTAGTCCTATCCCAATGAATTCTGAGATCCAGTCTACTAAGAGTCATGCATCACCTATGGATGGGATCTTAATGGGCTTTTGCATATGTTGTTTACTCTGCTTAATAGCTGAAGCCTTTCGTATGGGAAATCCTTCTATCCCGCTCGCATTTACAATCTTCCCCAATCGTTCTCCACAGACTGCAAGAGCACTGGTGACAACAATCCCACATCGCCTAAATATGGATTTTATAGGGCTTCTATTACAAAATTTCTCGCTCCACCTAATACTTGAGATTCCAGGCTTATACATAACAAACCAAACAATTACCACTCTCTTGTTCAGTGGAGCTTGGCTTCTATCTACTTCCACACTCCAGTCTTATTTCAGTTTCACATTAGTGCCCCCAAACAATCAAACACTTCATTTTCATCCTCCAGGCTAAATTCAGCTGACACAGACTCCAAACTAGAAATTGATCTACACCGTAATTCAAGTTCTTGATTAATTAGTGTACAGGAAGTGGCTCAAATTGCAAACCGTGGAAGCCACAAATGGGCTGAAAGAGCCGCAAAACTTTCAGAGTTCTGAACCCCCATCATCCCTTTTCGCCGAACCTCCGAGCTCAATTGTCACGCGCGCGCATCGCCAAATCATCAGCACATCTCGATCGGGCAACCAATGTTTCAAGAAAATCAAACAAGAAGCGAAGGGAGACAAACCCACATGGCAGAGATCGTCCCACCCCACTGAAAGGTGGCGAGAGCTCCGCTGCTCGATCCAATCTCGCCATCCATCGGAGTCGAAGCAGCAGCTGCAACGGCCACTTCGGCCACTGATACTTACAAAGTTCAACCGATCCTTGGATTCTGGTTCCGGCAGAATGCAAGAATCGGTGAACTTCCTTCTTGTTATCTCACTCTACTCCACGAGGACAAAAGCTTGGTAGAGGAAGGAGAAGGAGAATATGCAGGTTGGCGGGTCCCGGATCCAGGTTGAGAGCGAGCTCCAGCAGTTCTTGGTACCTAATCTCTGACACGCACGCACTCGTGTACGAGATTGTTCCTCGTACCCATTTTATGGGCACTCGACTTATGGTCGAAGGAAGAATCGGACGGTGGAATTCAACAGAGAAAGAGCGGCTGGCATCGATTTCCGACTCGGTTAAGGGCGACTCGAGTAAATCATGTAGTACGGATCATCTTGATTTGTAAGATACTGATCATTTCAATGGAGGGTGGATACATAATCGCGAAAGGAACGGCACTACCTCTCTGTGTCCAATTCAAAATCTTAAATCGATAAGTGGAATGATAGTCTATATTTCAACAAAGATTACTTATTATCCAGATCCAAGTCATTATAAAGTCTCATTTAGCAAAAAAAAAAAGTCATTATAAAGTCTCAATTGTTACTAACTTCGGGTTTTAGTTTGGATAGTTGAGTTAAAATTACTTTGATTTTTGGGATAATAATACAAATGATTTATGAATTTTGGTTTAACGTGCAATGTCATCGTTACACTTTTACTTATGCAGTATGGTCCCCAAACTTTGGGCCAATGTACACTTTCGTCCATCAGCTTTTAATTTGTTCAATATAATCTCCAAAATATTGATAGATGTTCAATGTAGTCTCTAGACTATATGATATGTTCAAAAGTTCATGGACTATATTGAACATCGGACAAAAGTTCGAGTACCATATTGAACGAATTAAAAGTTTAATAACGACATTACACATTTGACCAAAATTAGGGGATCGTTCGTGTCATTTTCCCTTTGGTTTTTTTTTTCTTTTGAGTTGGTTGTTTGTTAGTTCGAATTTGACTTAGTGGGTCAATTTTTTAAAAAAAATTATTAAAAAATGCTCTTAGGATTCTTGTTAAACAATCAATTAAGGAAATATTACAATTTTCTACCTCCGTGATAAATACAATCAATACTTTAAAAATCAAGTATTTTTCTATTAAACATATTTAATAAGTGCCATGGATGAGGGAGTAACACAATTGTCCTTCCACTCGAAGAACACAACCTTAAATCACTCACAAACCAACTCCCAAAAGCCCCCGTGATAACGTTCTCGCTCTATTGGTCACTCACCAAGGAATCTGAATAGATTGGGAAAGAGAGAGGTGAGCAACCACGACCTAATGAGTAGCGTGTATTTTTCTAAGCAGATCGAGTAGCCACTATGCATATATATATATAAGCAATACTGAAATTAATTATCCAACTCTTTAATATACATATCAAATCATATATGAGTTATATCATTTTAACATAATCGTATACATATTAGAAAACATTCGTTAAATCAATAATATCATAACAAACATCAATGAACTTATCATGTTAACGGTCCATTCTATTGATCAATCTCAAATCACACATTAATGGTCTATCCATCGATAGATCTATTACTCAATATCAAACCATGTTCAAGACACAATGCATTGTGACAAAGCGACCAATGTTCCCCCTTTGACAAGGTATCCACCTATTATAAGCCGATAGCTCGGCCCACAAGGATATCCTCACCTGTATGTATACCCACAAGCCCCTAAATAGGCTCAGAGTGACACTGAGCATCATCAACAATCCACAACAAAATACTTAACAATCCTAAAAACAAATCCATAACTGATATCACAAATCAATTTATAAAACAAAACATACAATATTTCGTAACTCAACTCATACACTAGAATACATTTTGCAATTCATTTCATAAATACTTATAAAACTAAAAAATAGGGTTATATATGTGCGATCCGAAGTTATTCATTAAATATGTCATAAACATCACTTTTCCTCTTTAACCAAATCACACTTTGCACATAATATGTCTCATACTTTTCATTTTTAAAATATTAGTTTACAAACTCAAAGAAAAGATAACATCACTCACCCAAAATGCCACAATACCAAATAACGACGCTCACTCGAACCGATGATCTCATAATCCCAATAAATAAATGAGAATTGACATCAAAACCAGGTAAAAAACTACGATAACTACGAAATAGTTAAACTACCAAAACGACTCATGCGACAACAATCGCTCACTCAATACGATTATTCAAGCCATTCGCAACACAGACTCACATACGAAATCCTAAAATTTCGCTCCAATGAAACCGTTGCTCAAAATCAACTCCTGCCAAAATTCACAACCTTACAATGCCATAATCCTCTATTTCCATGAAATCCCATAACTCAACATCTCAAAAATCAAATTACGCAACTCGATTTTCACAAAACTTCGAATATAAGCCCTTATTACGAAAACTACTCTAATTGGATGAAAGAGGGGCGTGTCACTTACCAAGCGTTGTGATACGTAATTAATCTAGCTTGACGAAATTTTCGCGACATGTGCGCATAAAACCCCTTTCCCTTTCTTCTTGTTCTTTCTTATCTTTCTTTCTTTCTCCTTTCTCTTTTTCTTTTCCTTTCCCATCAAGCTCCTGGTCTCTTTATGTTGAATTACGCTTTCTTTTCTCTTTTGTTGACTTTTCAACCTTTCTTTTCTTTTTCTGTTTTTGCTTTTTCCCTTTTTTTGACTTTTTTGAACCCACATTTTTCATTATTCCCTATTTAAAAAAAATTTCATCCTCAAAAGTTACACTTATCTCAACCATCAAACAAATTCTCAAGCTCCCTTTGTCATTCTCTCTCAACTCTCATGAGCAAAACAATCAAAGCTTGTCTTCAACCCAAATAGAGCCTGTCCCACCGAATATGTTCTAGTTGACCATCCTCGGAGTAAGCTACAGAACCTTCACGAACTCCATCACCTTGAGCACCTGTCTTGCTCCTATCCTAGGAGTTGGAATTTAGATCCTTTCACCTCATCCACTCCTCTACACATTTAGAATCACCACCAAAGTCCTAGATTTGCGTGCTGGAAACTCCTTGTCAGAACGCACCTTGAGAACCTTAAAATATATTCCCCATACCAAAGGTAACATCTTGCTTGCTTCTTTTATCTTGCGAGTTGAGAAGAATCACCACCAAAGTCCTAGATTTGTGTGCTGGAAACTCCTTGTCAGAACGCACCTCGAGAACCTTAAAATATATTCCTAGTATCAAAGGTAACATCTTGCTTGCTTTTGTTATCCCTTAAAAGATGAAGCATACTTCTCTGAATCGGAACCGACTCGAATAGAGACATACATCATAAGACCTAACAAAAAAATTATTGCGTTACAAACTAACACACAAACTCGCAGCGTCCCACAAAATCTACTCTCAAATATCAAATCCTACGCTCTAATAACAAAATATGTCACACCTCAAATCTTACCAGAAAGGGGGAATGACACGACTGTCCTTCTACCGGAATGACTTAGCCTCAAACCACCCACAAACCAACTCCCAAAAGTTTCCGCGATAACGGTCTCACTCTATTGAGAAAGAGAGGGCTAAGCAACAACAATCCAATAAATAGTGCGTATTTCTTCTAAGCAGATCGAGCAGCTACCATGTATATATACATATGTATAGATATATATATATATATATATATATATATAAGTAATACCAGAAACTCATTATCCAACTCTTTAATATAAGCAATACCAAAAACTCATTATCCAACTCTTTACATATATATATCTAATCATATATGAGTTATACATAACCGTATACATATCATAAAACATTCGTTAAATCAATAATATCATAACAAACATCAATGGTCAAATCCATTGATCAATTTCTAACAAAAACCACGTCAATGGTCAATTCCATTGACCAATCTCAAATGACACGTCAAATGGTCCATCCATTGACAAATTAATTATTCAATATCAAACCATATTCACGACACAACGCATTGTAACAAGACAACCAAGATTCCCTCTTTGACAAGGTCTCCACCTATTATAATTCGGTGGCTCGATCTACAATGATATATCGGTTACCAACAAGCCCCTAAATAGGCTCACAATGACATTGAGCATTATCACCGATCCACAACGACATTCTTAACAATCCTCAAAACCAAATCCATAATCGATATCACAATTCAATTTACAAAACAAAACATACAATCTTTCGCAACTAAACTCATCCACCAGAATACCTTTTGCAATTCATTTCATAAACACTTCTTAAACATTTCAAATAACAAATAGTGTAGTAAATGTTCGATCTGAAGTTATGCATCAAATATGCCATAAATATTACTTTTTCTCTTTAGCCAAAACACACTTCGCACATAATATGTCTCATACTTTTCATTTTCAAAATATAATTATACAAACTCAAAGAAGAGATAGCATCACTTACCTGAAATGCCCAAAAACCAAAGAACAATTAAATGAGAATCGACGTTAAAATCAAGTAAAACACTACGACAACTACGAAATGGCTCAACTACCAAAACGACTCCTACGCGACAACAATCGCTCAGTCAAAACGATTATTCAAGCCATTTGCAACACGGAATTCGCACACGAAACCCTAAAATTTCACCCCGATGAAACCATTACTCTAAATCGACTCCTGTCAAAATTCACAGCTCTATAATGCCATAATCCACTATTCCCATGAAATCTCATAACTCAACATCTCAAAAATCGAATTACGCGGCTCGATTTTCACAAAACTTCGAATATAAGCCCTAATTATGAAAGTTACTCTAATTGGACGAAAGAGGGGCACGAGCACTTACCGAATGTTGCGATACATAGTAAATCCAGCTTGACAAAGCTACCATGGTATGTGCGCACAAAACCCCTCTTCTTTTCTTCTTCTTCTTCTTTTTTTTCTTTCTTTCTTTCCTCTCTCTCTCTCTTTTTCTCTCTTTCCCGAGCAATCTCTTGGTCTCTTTATGTTGAATTGCCCTTTTATTTCTCTTTTGTTGACTTTTCAACCTTTCTTTTCTTTTTTTTCTTTTTTTGCTTTTCCCTTTTTTTTTTGACTTTTTGAGCCCATATTTTACACATTAACAATACTCTTTTTAAGATTAAGTTTGTTTCTTTCCGGTGCTTATATCTTCACCTAATTTGACTTTATAAAATGTTTTCTTGTGACAAACATTCCTTCACTTATGGAATTCCCTTTTTTATTAGGTCATAGCTATTTTCTCATATAGATTTTCACCTCACCCCACATTTATGAAAACATGGGAATGAAAAAACGAAGTATTTTTTTATGCCCAATATCCATTTTCCATTCATTCTTATTCTGAGATACCAAATACCAAAAGAAACAGGAATGAGGTCTAATTCACATTTCACTCCTTATTTCCAATAAATT